CGATGCGTTCTTTCGTTGACAAAATTTGACATCGATGCGTTCTTTCGTTGACAAAATTTGACATCGATGCGTTCTTTCGTTGACAAAATTTGACACGGCGGCGCTGATGGGTACTAGAAAGTGACGAAATTTGAATTAAGCTAGCGCTACTGAACAAAACAAAATTGGATGATTGGACAGGACCTCAATTTCCGGGAAAAAACATTCTAGGAAAGAATGGATCGATGTCAATGCGGCCATCGAGATCATAATACGACAAGATATAAACGATCTTCCGTTTTTTTGACACTCCTGACGACCCCGGTGACCCCCGTGCTGTCCTGGAACGAGGTATCCATCCATCCATCCATCCATCCATCCATCCATCCATCCTGTGCTACGGCCCTTCTTCTTACCAAAGGGCAGAGCTGCACTGCTCGGCCACCTACCAAGATTATGAATGCATCTGGACAACCAGGGCTGTCCAGATGCATTCATTTTAGTAAATCAGAATAGGACGGCCAAAATAGAAACCATCTTCCCTTCTTGACAGTGGTGACAACCACCTCTGTTGTTTTTTGTTCGGGCTTGCACTCTGCAGGTGTCTGTCTGCTGTTCTGCTCGCCATCTGCCAAGATTTTGAATGCATCTGGACACAAGGCTGTCCAGATGCATGTTTTTAGTCAAAAAACAGAATAGGACGGACGAAATATAAAACCATCTTCCCTTCTTGACAGTGGTGGGAACCACGTCTGATGTTTTGACTGGGCTTGCACTCTGTGGGTGTCTGTCTGCTACCTGTGCTGTTCTGCTCGCCATCCGCCAAGATTTTGAATGCATCTAGACGAAAGGCTGCCCAGATGCATTTTTTTAGTATCTAGACGACAGGCTGTCCAGATGCATTTGTTTAGTAAAAAATCAGAATAGGACGGACGAAATATAAAACCATCTTCCCTTCTTCACAGTGGTGACAACCCCACGTGTGTTGTTTTTTGTTCGGGCTTGCACTCTGCAGTTTTCTGTCTGTCTGCTGCCTGCTGTGCTGTTCTGCAGCTGAACTGTGTAACATCCATCCATCGTATACTACCTCCTTTTCTTGTCAATGAAACAAGACATCAATAGTCATCAATTCGATAGTCAATTCTTTTATAAGTTATATCAGAATACGGTGTAAAAAGACGAAAAATTGCTATGAAGGTTTTTTTTTTTTTTTTTTTTTTTTTTGCCCTTGTCCTTTTTCTACAGCACTGACAACCGCTGTTGGCATATATCTGCAGCACCTCTGTGCTAGTCTGCAACCGCGTAACATCTATATCCGATGCTGACTTTTTTTTTTCCTTTTATGAAAAAAAGAAAAGACATCGATAGTCAATGCTTGGACGATATGTTTTTTACCAACAAGATATAAAGCACATCTCTTCTTTTTCTTTGCAGTGCAGAGTCTGCAGTCAGCCTGAATTTCCTTTCTTGGAAAATTTTCCTCCTTTTTAAAACAAAAAAAAACACCTCTCACTGGCTCTCAGGAAATTCAGAATTATTTATTACTTTCTGTTTTACATCACCTCTGGATTCGAACTTGGGTCTGTATTGCAACACTTGCTGGGCATATCAACCGAGCTAGGGGCTTATGGGTCGGTGAGCACCTCCTCCCCTTTCGCCAGTCCGCACAAACGCGAACGCGTAATTTATTTACAGTGTGAGAGTTCAATTCCGCCCCGACTACGGGTGCACAAGTTGTGGACAAGCAAAAGAAACTGTGTGTTGTTGGCCCCTTTTTTTTTTTTTTTTTTTAACCATGGGATGAGATTCCACCTGTTTCTCTTTTGACGCAGCAGTTGTTTTTACGGTAGATCGATCCAGCCATCGATCTACCGTAAAAACAACTGCGTCAAAAGAGAAACAGTTCAGAGTCTTCAGACAAACACCTATTTGTTACCAGTGTGAGAGTTCATTTGTTTTTTTTTTACCATGGAATGAGATTCCACCTGTTCAGAGTCTTCAGACAAACACCTATTTGTTTACAGTGTGAGAGTTCATTTCCGCCGCGTCTACGGGTGCACTCTAGTTGTGGACAAGCAAAAGGAACTGTGTTGTTGGCCTTTTTTTTTTTTTTTTTTTTTTTGTTTGTTTGTTTGTTTAACCATGGGATGGGATCTGATCTGTTTCTCTTTTGATGCCTTTGTGTATGGTAATAAGTAGACCCGGCCGCTCGTCTCTCCTTCAGCTTCCCTCAATGGGTCACAACAGATCGAATCCCATCCCACTCATTTTAACCATTGGATGGGATTATATCTAATGTTCTTTTGATGGCTTTGTTTATGGCAATGAGTAGATCCGGCCGCCCGTCTCTCCTTCAGCTTCCCTCGATGGATCGAAAGATTCAAAACAGATCGAATCCCATCCCACCCAATGATAAAAAAACACTTTAAAACAGACCATTGGATAGGATTCCATTTGTTTTTGTTTTTGATACCTTTGTTTATGGTGTAAGTCGATACGCTGTCTTCTTATCCTGAACGCAAGCAGCCGGTCCCCAATCTGATATCGATACATAACAGGGCATTGAGTACAGTGGCCAAGAAAAGAAGGTAGGCTTGTCCAGGGAAGAAATGGGGGTAGGATTGTGGGCCCCGGGCCACTCAGTTGGGGGTTCATTTTATGCATCGTTGTTTGAGGGGGTTGTCGTTGGATCGGGGCATGGTGTCACATTATTATGTAGCTTTCTTCGAGTGATGTGATAGGAGGAGCATAGGTCATCCACGGGGAGTCGGCTCCAGCGATTTGGTTGGAGCACGGGTGGTGGACGGGAGAGAGAGAGTCGGCTCCATGAGTGCGCAGTCATCAGCTTGGAACATGGGTGACCGACGGGTGTTAGGTCCATGAATGTGCAGTCAGAATGTGACGGGGGCTTCTCAGTACTAGGGCATACTCACACTAGCATTGACAAAATGCATCAGACCTCAATTCCGGCCAACACTTGTATGCATCTGGCCGCAATTCCGTCCAGAAATAAGTAGGAAAAAAAGTCCTAGAGTGAGTATGCCCTTTAGATGTGCAACGACTCTGGTGGTGGTAGGTTGACGTTTCTTTCTCTGATAATTGCGGCTTGATTGTTTGTTCCTGTCATGTGGCAGATGGTCAATCAGTGGCGCGGCTGGGCTCGTTGACGATGAGCATGAGCACATGAACGTGCGCATGAGACGCGGACTGCCCAGATGAGATCGACATCGCTTGCGTTAATTGCTGTCGGTGACATCGGGATGAGATCGACATCGCTTGCGACTTGTGTTTAATTGCTGCCGGTGACGTCGGGTTCCCTGATGAGCTGTTGACGCCTTGCAACTCGCTCCCAAGGAAGACCTCCTGCTTCGCTGAGTGTATATTATGCCTTCCACAGGGGTCTGCAATGATGAGAAGTCGTTTGAATTTTTTCCCTCCTGAATGCAGTTTGTGGCGTGGCCCTTGATGTGCGCTTCTCCCTCCTGTCGCTCCTTGTTTCTCTGATTCGTTGTTCCGCAGCACAGCGTCGGGACAGCATACAACAAGAACATGTTGTCTGGGTCCATTACGTGATCGGGGTGGTCCATGTGCGCATCGGAAGGTCTTAGTGGGGCGCCCCAGATCTCAGAGGAGTAGGGAAAGAGGGGAGAGGGGGGGGGGCGGCAGTCGCAAGAGCGGGCTGTTTGCCTATGGTGGGCTCCCAATGTCACTTGCTCCAGGTCTTGGTGGTGAAGGAGAGGGGCTGCGCGTAGCCCCTCTCTTCTTCAAGTATGGTTTTTCAATCGATTCGTCCAGAAGGACGTGCCTGTGCCTGCCCCAGAGAAAAGTGGGATGCATGCCTTTGGTAGGAGCTCGCGCTCCCTAGGTGCGGGCACTCGACCTCCAGCTGTCGGTCAGGAATGCAGTTCGGTCAAAGGTGGCGTATAACGCTAGGCAAATGGTGCGCTGCGTCATGCACTCCAACTACTAGGTTTATCCTTCTTCCATCTTCTTCTTCTTCTATTCAACAGCTAAGGTCCCTAGGGAGACAGAGGGAGACTGAGGAGGTAAAGTAGGTTTCCGTTTGAAGTGCCGTTCCTCTTTTCCGTAGTGGAAGAATAGGTCGTGGCCTCGGGAGAGTGAGAGGGAGAGGGAGAGGGAGAGGGAGACTGAGAAGGAGAGGGAGAGGGAGACTGAGAGGGAGAGAGAATGTCGGACCTAGATAGGCAGATTGAGCAGCTGCGGCGATGCGAACCGCTTAAGGAGTCGGAGGTTAAGGCCCTTTGCATGAAGGCAATGGAGATCCTTGTCGAGGAGAGCAATGTGCAAAGAGTGGACGCGCCCGTCACTATCTGTGGCGACATCCACGGTCAGTTCTATGACATGAAAGAACTCTTTAAAGTCGGCGGCAATTGTCCGCAAACCAATTACCTCTTCATGGGCGATTTTGTCGACAGAGGCTTCTATTCCGTCGAGACGTTCTTGCTATTGCTGGCGTTGAAGGTGCGATACCCTGACCGCATCACGCTCATCAGGGGTAATCATGAGAGTAGGCAGATCACTCAAGTGTATGGATTTTACGACGAGTGTGTGCGGAAATACGGGTCGGTGAATGTGTGGAGGTACTGCACAGACATCTTCGATTACTTAAGTCTGTCGGCGCTTATAGATCAGCGAATCTTCTGTGTTCATGGCGGTCTTTCTCCACACATAAAGACGCTGGATCAGATCCGAGTGATCGATAGGAAACAAGAGGTACCACACGATGGGCCAATGTGTGACCTGCTATGGTCAGACCCAGAGGATATTGACGACTGGGCAATAAGCCCAAGAGGGGCAGGGTATCTGTTTGGAGGGGAGGTGGTGTCAAAATTCAATAGGGACAACAAGATTGAGCTGATATGTAGGGCGCATCAACTTGTCATGGAGGGGTATAAATGGATGTTCAATAGCCAGTTGGTCACAGTCTGGTCTGCGCCCAATTACTGCTACAGGTGTGGGAACGTTGCAGCCATCCTTGAGCTGGATGAGCATTTGAACAAGAAGTTCGCGGTGTTTGAGGCTGCCCCCCAGGAAGAGCGTGGGCTGCCATCGAAGAAACCAGCACCAGACTATTTCCTTTGACGAAGGAACGTGACAAAATCTTCTGGAAGGAGGCAGGGAAAGAAGGATGGAGGGACAGAAGCCGGAAGAAAGGGAGGGAGTGTGATGGCTCCTCTGTGTGTGTGTGTGTGTGTGTGTGCGTGCGTGCGTGTCCGTGTGCGTGTGCCTGTCTCTTATACACATCTAGATGTGTATAAGAGACAGTCATACTTGTAGGTGGTGTATATATTAACTGTCTGTTGGTGGTGGGGGGTGTCTCTTTCTTTTCTATTTTTTTTTCTCTTTTTTTAGGGGGGTGGGCCCGGGGGGGGGGGGGGGGGGGGGGGTGGGGTTCCCCTGGGATGGACTGGTTAATTTGGGGGTCGCCCTTTTTTTTCCCCTTTTTTTTTTTTTGTGGGGGTGGGGTTTTTTTTTTTTTTTTTTTTTTTTTTTTTTTTTTTTTGGGGGGGGGGGGGGGGGGGGGGGGGGGGGGGGGGGGAGGAAGGGTTCCTCCTGCAATGAATTCGATAATTGTGGCATGCGCTTTTTCTTACCCTCTTGTTTTGATTTGGAGAGAATTTTGGACCATTTCTCGATTTTTGCGCGTCATACTTGTAGGTGGTGTATATATTAACTGTCTGTCGGTGGTGGGGGGTGTCTCTTTCTTTTCTATTTTTTTTTCTCTTTTTTTAGGGGGGCGGGCCCGGGGGGCGGGGGGAAGGGGGAGGAAGGGTTCCTCCTGCAATGAATTCGATAATTGTGGCATGCGCTTTTTCTTACCCTCTTGTTTTGATTTGGAAAGAATTTTGGACCATTTCTCGATTTTTGCGCGTCATACTTGTTGCTGGGGGTGGTCTTTTTTTTTTTTTTTTTTTTTTTTTTGGGGGGGGGGGGGGGGGGCGTCTTTCTGCGATGAATACAATACAATACTTGTATTGCTGGTGTCTCTGTAGTATGCACTTTTTTTTTTGGTTTGCGATTTTCACCATTTCTCGATTTTTTTCGATTTTTTTTGGGTCTTGATTTCGACCGTTTGTCGATTTTTTTTGGTTTTGATTTCGACCATTTCGCTCCTTGCGCAGGTACCATTTTGCTAATTACCCTTCTCTGCATCGTTCCAATTTTAACGGATGTCACGAAGAACTGCTCCTTCCTTCCCCCCCTCCCCTTTTTTTCGGTTTTCTCGCTTGTGGTATGTCCAGTATTAACACCCTAAATATATGGATAATACATAAATGTGCAATTCGGGTTTCTATGATTGTCGAGGGCTAATAAGTCAATTCACCCACCAGCAATATTCGAGGCCAATAAGTAAATTTACACCAGCCTGGACCCCCCCCCCCCTGCGCACCAGAGATGATTTTCCTTCCGAAACGCCAGCGCGGCGTTTTTGTTGTAGTTTTGGCTGGCGGCGCCAACCTTTTTTTTTTTTTTTTGGTGTTGCCAACC